ATGCAGTAAGAAGCTTTCTTAGCACTCTTGTGATTTCGTGTAGATGAAACGATAGCTACGAGGGACGCAAACTTTCGCACCCCATTTACTATTTACTTGGTGTGGTAGGTAAGAGTAGACCGCGCTCTATCCGTTTTACGAAAGGATAATTAAAAAAAGTTAGGCTCCTGGAATGAGATGTGTAATTGTAGCAATGTTTTGTTGTTGTTAATAGCGACCGTGGATGATTGATGGTGAAGGGCTGAACGCTTCAAGCAATTTGTGGTAGATTACGAGATGAATATGTAATAAATGATAAAATTGCTGCTAATCTTTCGTTATAGGATCAATGAATGTGCAGAAGGGCGACGCAAAAATTGTAGGCGGGGGATACAAAGCAAAAGAAGAAGGTTGGATGGATTTTAAGGGACGAGTATGAAATGTGGGAGAATGTAACGTACAGCGGAAGAAACACTTATACCTAGACGAACGAAGATGATACTCCTAATCTGGAAACTGACAAGGGTGGGTCGAGGTAACCTGAGAGTACAAAAAGCTCTTGGAGGTGAAAGCATGATGACACGAAACGCAAAACAAACCTTCCGCATTGAAATTCCATTTTTTCCAGTTAAATAGTCCTTTTATCTCTTTATTCAATCTGTATATTTCTCCTGTTTGCATTGTGCTTAGATTGTTGTATAAATTCCGCTTCGTAGTTCTTTATTCTTCCACTAGAAGTCATCCACACTATCATTTCTATGTAATAATTTTTCCGCTTCTCCTTAATCCTCACTTCCGTACAAGCTGTACCTGTAAAAGATTTTTTGAAAGCTAGGAATACAAGGACGCCTTCACGGTGCCTTATTTTCGGTACCCTACCACAGCGGTTTACCATGAAGTCTAGTTTTCCTTAAAAAAGAATGTTTTGGTGCTTTGTTTCCAAATAATTCCGGCTAATATTTTAACGTAAACCTAAAAAGACAAAACTAGAACTTCGTCATGCAAGGGTTGAGGTTATTGATGGTGAGAAAAATAAGAGAAGAATGGTAGGATTAAAGAAAGAAGTGAATTGTAACAAGCATTCGAAATATCCAAAGAAAATAATTGCACGAACTCGAAGAATTCAAAGAATTTGAAAATTCAGAGGAATCGACAGCACAAGGTGAATCCAAATAGCCCCTGGAATTAGAAAAATCAGATCAATTGGAAAAATCGCAAGAACTCTTATGTACATAAAGAATTTTATCATTGTTAGGGGGATTTCAATTAATTTCTAAGCATCCCCTTGAGTATTAGAGGTATGTGACGGTTATGTTCAGAGGGGGGTAATAAACAGTTTTCGTGCGATTTCAAATACAATAACTTTTACACTAATACACAAAACACAATCGTGTATAAAAGAAACTGTACATAAGTATGTCTATAATTTCTTAAGAAACTGGACATGGAAATGTACTGAGTCCCAAAATTTCACCCCCTTTATAAAATAAATTGTCTTACAAAAGACATCAAAAGTTTCACGTCCCATAATTTTAATAGAAGGGCCACTTTCTTCATCATTATCTTCATTAAACGTTCCACAGGCAAAATATTCCGTACGGGAGTTCAAAAAGTGCCAATAAAAAGGACGCTGTGTTAGCTGGTGCGTACAATATGAAACGACCTGTTTCTTACTGGGTATGTAAATAAAGTGGCTTAAAAATTCAAGTTGTGGCAGTAGAATGGAAAGTTTGTTAGAAAATATCTGACAAGGGAGCATGGCTGTAATCTACATACTAAATAAATTTTTTGTGTTCCAAAGTGTGGAGTCGAGTTTGAATTATTTCCCTCACTAGAGAAAAAGTTATCTTTCGCGACTTGCCACAAGTTTTTGTGTCCCTTTAACGACCCTTGTCAATAAACCGAACCTTAAATTCTAAAAATCGCCTAATTGCAGCTTAACCCAACACAGGCAGCCGAAATAAGAACATTCCAGAACTCAAACGCTAAAAGTCGGTATTATTAAATTTGGAAAAACGTCAGGAAATCAAAATGCTCGATATTTCAAAGATGGATTCCTTATTTGATTTTGCTTTGCAGTTGTTTTGTATGTAGACTTTTATTACCTTTCCGTTTTTCTCCTTTCAGAAAGTTTATAAATGAGCAGATAGATAAAGTACGTTCTGGATTGCAATTCCAGCAGGATATATCAATAACGTGTACATGTAAGAAATGTCTCCGCTACAATTTAGTTGTGCTTTCTACAATACACACAGATTTCGAATTGAAAACTCCGCCGAGTTCAATTTAATTGCTGTGGATCTAAATCTGATACCCCAATAAATGGGATATCCGAATGCAACGTAATAGTTATCTGATTAAGTACCCCTTTCACGTACGAGATGTTGTGATGAAAGGCTTTGGATGAAAACTTACTACGGAAATTGTAAAGTTACTCTAATTAAATTGAATGTGAGTAGATTCAATACAATCGCACACTGCGATCTGCGTTTGCATACAATACACCAGAATATCATTTTAACAGTTCTCCGTGAATTTCATTTTTCAATCACAAACTGCTACGTGGGAACAAATTCGGTGGAAACCCACAAAGTCGCGATATATCAAATAGGGAGGAGAGATACTTGTAAATTTATTTAAAAATTTCTGGCGAAAGATTTGTACAGGTATAAAAAGAAGGAAATATCTTTTTGATCGTGACAAGGAGTCCAATCAGAACCAGTAAACTTTTCGCGAATTTTTATTTATAAAATCTCCTTTCCTTTATATTATTTATTGATCGAGGTGTTCAACAAAGTATTGGTGCCAGATTTTAGGGACTGTGCACGAACACGAAAATGGATTGTGCGTCGTCGTTTTAAAGGAAAGGTTGAGGATGTACAGCAAAAAGTTTGACGTAGCACCATAAAAGTATGTTATCCATTTTACAAAAACGTTTCGACGCAGAATCTTTTTTGTCAAAAGAGAATTAAAGTATGTCTCTGACGGGTACACGAAAACGTGTTCCGTGTCACTGAAGCGGCCTCCTTTATTTTAAACTCTAGGCTTGAGCGTTTGTGATAACGTAAATGTCGTAAGGTTGAAAGTAATCTAAACTTAAGATGTCAGACGAATTTCCAATAAGTTCTTCTACACGTGCAGCATTCAACAACAACTGCATTTTTAATAGTGATACTCATTATATACGTTATTGCTTATGGAAGTTCAATTTCAAATTCAAGGTAGATAAATGCAAATTGAAACTTTGAAAGCCGTCGTTAAGGATATATGAAACAGGAATGACAAAATATTTACAAATCTGAAGATAAAGCTGACCCATCCACCTAATTTTCTTTACACACTTAAAGTGAATGCAGTACCTTAACCATTACGCCTGGAAGAAGTGACTAATCAGCTATATCCAAATTTACCGATAGTAATTGACTGTGGAAGTTTCCTATTTGCAATAAGGGTTTCATTGAGAAACGTAATATTCAAAATTCGATACTAGCAGCAAGATGATTTTACTCTCCAAGAAACTAATTAGTTCCTTGGATTGTCCTAGTCCAGGAGCAGATTCCCATAGCCGTTTCCACTCTTCTGAGCTGGCTTGTTATCACTCCTCCAGCTAATTCCACAGCTGTAGGGTTCCGATCCAATTTGGGGATGTTTGGTGCCGCCCTCAGCGAGTCGATCAGCCTCTTCGTTACCGGCTATCTCTTCATGGATTGGCACCTATACTAACGTAAGACGATTACGCCTGGTTATTTTTTTCAGTGGACGGCAGGGAGCAGGCTGCTACAGTTTTTAGAAATGCCCGATATTGTCCGAGAAAATGTAAATGTGCGCATCTAGTAGCCCTTTGATCGCAATGACCTCTGAGCACCTGGTTATCTATATAATCGGGGCTTGAAATAACGCAGGAGTGGTTTCTAAGGCCATTGAGAGAGTTTAATTCGGCTCTTATGTCTATTTCAACTTCCTCCCTCGACTTAGACCCATCTGTGAAGAAGCATAACGTTCCAAGTCTGGGAATTCGGCACCTCTTGGGTTGATCCGTGGTCCATTTGTCTGCTTAAGCAATAAAAACCACATCTACCTTCCTCAAGCCCTTGGGGAGTAGCTCCCCCTAAAAGGTTTTACTAGAATGGGCGTCAATGTCTCAGTTTCTTTTATAAGGAGAATGGGGAGAATTCTCCCCAGCTGATTTATAAAAATGGACAAGTCAAATTTGTTGGATGCCTTCTGATGTCTGATCAACGGAACCCGGAAAGTGGCAAAGCCCCAAAGTCGTTTGGTCCCACCATCTTTCCCAACCGGCTGTTCTCTCTTTTGAGAGGATTTTCTATAGGCGAGGGGTTATGGAATTTCTTCGATCGTCTGACGGAATCTTTCCTAGGACGATCCTTTTGCCTTCCGAATCAGCTTACTAAACCTACTGTTTCTGTATTCCTGTAAACCTGTACATATGTTGTGTCATAAGTAGTCGAAAATCACACCCTCACATTTCGTTAACGCGGTCATCCAACAAGGGTATTCGAGCGTCTCCGACGCGTTGTCTAACAGATGTGTTTCTTGCATACTTGAAGCACCTATGGGGCAGTATTCACAGTATCATTCGTAGAACTCGAATACATCCTGTGCCATCGATTTTTACACCTTCCACTTTGGCCTCCTGTCTATCCGAATGTATAGGTACTATATTTATTTTGTTAAATTCCTGCACGATACAGCGAAAATAATCCCCCCATCAAAATATTTAAAACCTTTAGTTTACAATCTCACCTTTACTGCTGCATATGTCTATCGTCTTTTTTCATTGTAGGTACTCGTTTCCTCGAAAATTAGACCGAGAGAGTACATGGGTGAAATTGTCTTTCTTTTCTCCAGGTTTCTATTCTATTAATAACGTATAAGGATATCTTGGAACAATACCGTTTCAAAGCGATAGAGTTATTTTTGTCCATAATCTTATCGCCCTAAAGTAATTTCTGGACGAGAGATTATCTTAAGCTACTACTTGTAGCAAAGATAAGACCTATTAATAGCGTATAAGTCGCGTAATAGAAAAAGCACCTCGTTTATTTAGCGAAATTGTTACGGTCCTAATTGTATTCTTTTCACCGAAATCAAACAGAGAGCGTGCGATGTTCAATTCGGTTCACATTTCAATTCCACCACGAATCATATTTTCCAACTCTTTAGCCATATTGTTTAATTGGGCAGGGTGGGAACAAAAACGTGGATTTGGTGATATACAACAGAAAAATGTACTTATTTGGTAAGTTGACAATAATAATAGGATTATGTTTTCCGATATTCATTTTCATTTAGTAAAGCAGCTCTATTCTGGACGAGAACCTGCATCAACCAGTGACAGCATCATTACAATCCCGACGCAAAGTTGACTACAGCTGCTCCTTCCCCTGATTTTAAATAGGCATTGAAAAAAAATCCTGAATGTTCCGGATGGAATTTGTAATTATGAGGCCCTTTATATAATTATTCGGACCTTCAATTTGATTAAATATACAATCTAATAAGCCCATGTGATGCATTTATTATAAACGTTTATTAAGTACACTGTTGACGAATTTCATACGTAAAAACTGCATAGGTATTTCGTACCCGACGTATTCAGTAAATGCATATAAATCGTATATCAATGCGAATAATAAACGCATAACATTCCTTTCACATTATAGCCTTGCAATGTTAGTTGTTTATACCGTATGTCATTACGCTTAAGCACATCTAAAATATTAATCTACTTTTTTGTTATCACTTTTTATTCAGTTATTGTATTATATGTATAATTTTGATATAACTTTGTACGTATATTATGAAACTATCATTTTCAGATACATATTTCTAACGGACAGGGTGGCCTGGATTCTGAGTAAAAACCTGCTGCTGTACATGTAATTTCACTTTTTCTCTTAATAATGAGAATGTTACGTTGTTACAGAGCGATGGAAGAACTATTATATGGCAAACCTATTGAATAACACATAGAAGCAACGATTTATATGTTAACGCTAATGTTAGAAAAACGTTAATGTGCACCTTGACGGGTTAATCTGCGGATTAACGGTTCAGATCCGTTAAAGTGCGAAATTTCCTTTAAAATAGAAATAATTTGTAGATAATAATAATAATAATAATGTTTATTCCCACAAAAACAACAGATTACCTAGTTAATCTGCACATTGACACATTCTAGATTGTTAATGTGCGAAAAAGTATTGAAAAGAGCAATACAAACACGTGAATCACGTATACCTACAATTTTTGACCGTATGCACCGTAAAAATTTAAGCTGAGCTTAGCTTAAGCCTAGCTTAAAATCATTGGCAACCATTGTCCCAATGTACGTTACGATGGATATTAAGCTGCACTTAAACTAAGCCCGCTTAGGGCCAATTACACCGTCAAAATTAAGTATCCCTTAAGGTTAAGCATAACGATTGTCTTAATAATCGTTGCCATAGATTTTAAGTTCGACTTAACTTTAAGCAACGCTTAATTTTGTTGGTGCAACTAGGGCTTATACTTTTTCGATGCATACGGCCATTAATGATTTCATTGCAGTAAGTTTCTAAAAAGGTGTTTACATTTTACTACATACGTAGTGGGTGCGTGAAGTTAGCACAGTAATGGAAGCACTAACGAAATATTACGTGCCAGTCGTTAGTGCTTCGTTTCTGCTTGATTGTGCACGAAAAAGTAACTAAGCACCTTCACCAGTCTTTGAGGTACAGGGTCCCCGTATTCCGTGCCAACTTCATAAGTCTCTATCTTCCTCTGTTTCAAGTGTAAAACGTGAAATACCGTTTTTCTAGTCCCCGAGGAGCCTACATGCTAAATTTCAGCTTTCTATGCCCAGCAGTAATTATCTGTACATTTTCTGTTAGCAATTGAATAATTTTATATATATATATATTGCTGTGTAAACAATTATTGTTGGGACGTTATATATTTGGTTTTAAGACATTTGGAATGAATTTTAGTGTCATCAATTTTTTTTCTCTAGTCAATGTCGTGCGTTTGGGAATCGAGTGTGTAGTCAAGGTCTTGTTCGTTTACTTTCTTTATAAATGGTAGTGTCCCACATGACAAAATTGTGCAACATTAGCGTTTAATAAACGTTTAATGGTGACTTGTAACGTTAGCGTATAAGTACCATTAACTTACTATTAACGTCACCGCGACTGCTAATGTCCGCCTTCAAGAACGTTTCTCTGTAACGTCTAAATACCTACGTTTAGCAAACGTTACATCATATAACACTTTATAACATCAGCATTTAACGTTAATTGAACGTTTGAAACAAACGCCAATGCGATGTAACTCTCTTATGTTGTATAAACATGGTACAAAAATGTTTATTAAACAATACTAAATTACGTTTATATCATCCTTATACATTGACGGTTGGTATTATTAAAGTCATATTTACTATGTTGTAAGGTAACAGTGTTGTTAAGGAATATCTTTGCAACACCGTTAGCTGACAACAAAGTTAAGTCTGGCTTTATAATACCGGCCGTCAATGTACAAGGATGACATAAACGTAATTTAGTATTGTCACAGATTGTGTACTTTAATAAACATTTTTGCACTGTGATACTAAAGTGCACAATGTAAAAAAATTCAAATTTAAAATAATTCAAATAATTTTTTACCAGAAATTTAATGTATAAAACATTATTTCATTCACATCAATCACTTCACAAAATTGTTAAAAATGTCCCACCATTATAGAGAATGCACAGTTACACACACATTTTGATATCATCGGAAACTCATTCTAACATGACTGGTGTAATGTTCATTAGTTCCTCTTCGATTGCATTTTGGAGTTCCTCAGTGATGTGCAGACGATTTCGAAAAATATTGTATTTCAAAATCAGAAAAAAAATCTAACGGGCTTAGATCTGGAGAACGTGGTGACCACAATCCTCTGCTAATTAATCGATCATCGTAAAACTGTTGTTCGGCATCATGGAGTATGAAAATGGAAAATACCTTGTAGGAAAACGTTGGATATCAGGAAATTCTTGATAGAATTGCTGGCGACAGGATTGAATGGAATGCGTCCATGTTCCATCCTGTAGACTTGCACTTTGATAATGTTCCTTTAAGACGAACGCGTCATGTTTTGGTGAAAAAGACATTGTGGAAGATTCTAAAAAAGTAAGGTTATACATCCATAAAATAATTTACGTGTTTTACGTACTTTTACATACTGCTAACGCCTAGGAGGAACCCTGGTAGAACTGTTTGATTTAAAATAAAAAGATGCGTACAAGGTGGAAAATACAGAGAAATTCAACACGTAAAAATCGCCGTAAATGGATAGCTTATTCAGCTTATTTGTTGAAGTCATTGTCGTTCATCCTTGATGAAAAAAACCACAATCGCCAATGTCTAAACCAAAAAACTCCACAATTTTTAAACACTTAATTCAAACTATCCTCCACTTATTTTGAATCACATCACTCAATTCACAGAAAACCAACATTCAACAAACGTGTTAAACTGCAAATGAAGATAAACCGAGTGATGAGTCACCGACCAGCTATTTTTTCGTTGCGCAATGCCCAAAAAGGCACATTTTTAATATTACAAAAACGTTACTGTAACTGTGCAACTTAACAGTACTAAAATGTCGTTGTTGTAATGTTAAGCTTTTAAAAGTTGAACTAACGTAGTTACGTGTGGTTCCGTCAACGTACGCAAATAACATCACATTCCTTAACATTATAGTGACATCGCAACAAGGTTTTGCATAAAAACGTTGTCAAAGTAATATTGGTATAACGTTAGCATTCTGAATGTTATTTTAACGTAATAATGTCCCGTTCCAGCGACAAAGCAAGTTCAAAAGGTTACAATTTTTAACATTACAAAAACGTCGTATCCACGGTTTAGAAAGAAAAGCCATTCAAGTATCGTTGGTATAACGTTGATGTTTTGTTTAATTGAGTTGTTTCAAAATGCAACATGCGTTTAACGTACCAAACGTTTTTTTAACATTGCTTGTCAAGTGGGGTATTTTTTCCGAATTGCCAGCTTAAGTAATTATTGTACCTCAATTTGATTTGTTAGCTTTGAGCTGCTCTTTAATGCAAATGTGACAGTTTGGATATGATTTATTGAGCTTTTCGTTTATTTGAAAAAGATAAAGGAAATTGTTATATATATATATATAGAAATTGTATTTTGAGGTAGAAATATACAAATCATTTTTGTTAATTCTGCCAAAAGGTGGTGTGAAGTTGGCACGGAAAACGGGGACCCTGTACCTCAAAAACGGGTGGACCAGGGGGTGGGCATACTAGCTTAGTTTTTCCTGGACAATACGACTGGCAGAAAACATTTTTGTTAGTGCTTCCAAAGTGATGTGTAGTTGGCACGGAAAAAAGGGACCCTGTACCTCAAAAAGGGGTGGACGTCCAGTGCTACTTTTTCGTGATTCAGGTACCTATAATAAAAGATACTTTTAATCACAAATATTAAAATGTTATTGTAGATATCCCTTAGGAACCGCGAAAATGTGTAATTCCTTTTAGTCTAATAAAAGGTACCACAATAGCGAAACTCAAGTACGCAAGTATTGAATCTCAGGGGAAGCCCGAAAATGGCAAGTGTTGTCAGGGATAAAATGACGTAGTGGTGGTGGAAACAGCCGTAACCGGTATTTAAATTAAACAATAACGATGTGCCTTTGAGACATTAATATGCGTAATAATAAAATATCCTTAGCGGTGGTGCATTTTATTCCACGCAGCAAAACGTTGTTATGTTCAAAGACATTCTTTAATTTGACGTAAAACACGTAGTTCCCTTGAAAAGACATTTCTTTCCTTGTTAAAGAAACAGCACTCATGGGCATCTGAGTTTGATTGCGTAAATTGGATACAACGCGACAGAACGGCCGTACCTGGAGCAATTCTCGTTTCGAATCACTTCTGCAAATTAAAACGACCAGTTAGTAGGTGTAGTCCAAACGACAGATAGTAAAAGGATTACAAAGCGTCTGGTCTGTCAAGGGATTGAGTAAAAAGTGACTTATAAAGCAATCTAAAATTAAATTAAGTTCAGAGCGTGTCAGTTCGACTCGGTTAAACCGCAGACGTGAATTTACATTTTCACGATTGGATTCTTTGAAAGGGAGGTATATTATTCCATGGGCAATTATGCGTTTCTTGCGTGATTTTCTTTCTAACAAAGGCGATAACGGATGTCAGTCTGATGCGCTGTTAATATTAGCAATTTGGGATCTAATAAATTATTACTATTTAATTAGAGTGGACTAAATCTAATCAAAGCCTTGCGGTTTGTGACCCTCTTGATAGTTACTTCTGAAAGTTAGTTATTGAATCATGAACTGTGTTAAACTAGAAAGTGGACGGAACGATGTAGAACTACTGGGAATATCACAAATCTCGAACCATCTTTGCGAAGTTAGCTATAGGGACAGTTAAAAGAAAAGCAGTGGCGTATAAACTCCTGAATAAACTAGTTTATGTCATTGTCTCAATTTCCCTCAAGTGGAGTATAAATTAAAGCTTTTTTTCTGGAAAGCAGAAAC